GAACTTAGTTTAATAAATAATCTTTATAAAATATAATAATAAAACTCCAAAGCAACATATGCACTGCAATCATCTGTTAGTTTTTTTTTCGCTCTTTGAATTCAGAGGAAATTTTTAATTAAAAAGGGACACGAACTGCTTTGTACTACCCTCGCATTCAAAGTTAAGATAATTTTCACATTAAGTCAAATGCCTGAAAAGCAATGGACATATTTTAATACAATTTGGTATGAACATACATTTATAACAGAGAAACATATATGTCCTAGTCAAAAAATGCACGCATGATTATTAGTAAAGTTCATAGTGCAGGAATGTCCAAAGTCCATGCTGTGATATCGAACTGAAAATGAGTCTAATATGGGGTATGGCCCCTTCTCACAGCCAAACAAGTCGTCAGCATGACGGCATACTGGGCAGGAGGCCGTCAAGGAGTCCCTGTTGGCAATCGATACCACTCCTGCAACAAGGCAGTTTTCAACTCTCGGATGGTTCTCGAAAGGGAACAGAGAGATGAAATTGCCCTCCGAAGAGCATCCCAGGCATTTTCTATAGCGTTAAAGACAGGATATATGGCTAGCCAATACATGCGGCGAATATCCTCACTTTCCAGGTAATCTTCGACCACCTGAACCTTAGAGTTGTCTATTTACAGGGACTCAGGACCAACTGCTCCCTGAAAGGTCGAAAACAGAGTTATAAGATCTCTTACTTATATATCATAGCAGTCAGGGAGCCTTTGTCAAACATACAATGGAGTGTGCGACTGTCCAACATAATGCTTGCCCAAACAATTACACCTCCAGCACCATAATGATCCTTTTTCTTGATGTGGGGGGGCGATATCGTGTTCTAGGCTCTTTCCAGATACAGATGCGCCATGAATCAGTGTCCAGCTCCATCTCAGCTCATTTGTAAAGAAGCAGGATGCCCCACTGAAGTCTGGTCCAAGGCGCATGTTGACTGCACCATATGGACATGCTCTCTTGTGAGCAGGACGCAGACAGCAGGTCTTTTAAACACTTTTCTAAGCTGACCGGCTGTCCTGCCGGAGGAGGAAAGGAAAAAAATGTAGTTTTCGTAATCTCTGCAATGACTAGTGAGGTGACATATCTGCGCGTATAAGAATAAATGTCCTATTTTGTTGTTGTTGTTGTTACTTATGCTCACTAGTCTGACGTAGTCAGCTTAAGCCCACGAAATTCCTCGTGGCAAGGAGCGCTAGATTACGCCTGCCGTTGGCAATAGCCTTGAGCACCATTTAGGTGACAGTGTGATTTAGCTCAGTTCCCCCCCCTAGTTTTGATGGAGAGTACCTCGGGAGGGGACGGATCCGAGGGTTCCCCACCCCTTTCCCCTTACACCAAACCACAGAAGAGGACTTTCGGTTCGCCGCATAATTAGAGTGCCGCCATGCCGAACCAACACTATACATTTACAAATATCCATGCCTTCTGAGGGACTCGAGCCCGGGACCTTCGGCACGGCAGTCAGGTTTTTTTTTGCACCCACGTGTTTCGTATTGTTAAAGATACGAAACACCCAGCCGCCCAGATGGGACTGTGTTTAGAGACGCTGACTGCCGTACGAAAGAGCCCAGGTTCTAATATTGGAGAAGGCATGGATGTTTGTATAGGGTCTATGCGGCAAGAGGGCACTCAAAATACACTGGAAGCCGAAATACTTTGGAGCGGCTGATGGTAGAGAAAGAGGGGTAGGAGACACACGGACTGCCCCCTTCCCGTAGATATCTGCAAATTAGGGGTAGAAGCTCAACAGTTACCTAGGTGCAGCCATATCTCAGTCACACTACAATGGTTATCGTCATTTTGGGACAACCGAACTTTAAAATATCAGATATGCTTGCAACAAAGAAGGAGATACGTATTAACAAATTACTGCCGTTTGGTCCGAGATTTATGGCATAGGAAAGTTTCTTAACTTTGGTTGCATATATTCAAGAGAGGTCTAAGCTTCTGCTTTAAAATTAGATTACTGCTTTTAGAATAGATTTTGTTGCAGCCTATCAGTTATAGACTGCTATTACATTGAAGTTTCCAGAAAGTATTGCAGTTACCACCTGCAAATAATTTGAAAACTATGTAAGAGGGCTAAGACATGACGTTTTTTAAGTTAAATTTCAGGGGAAAAATTGAAGGTTATTGTAAACTGATAATAATAAATTGTAAAAGGAACCTGTGATCGGATGTAGATTGAGTATGAAAGAGCTGGATTCAATTTCGAAGGAAAGCCTATAATTGTTTTTTAGCAAGGCATAAAATATAACTACTTTGGCATTAGAATTGCTCTATTGAAGTAAAAATGCCTTTCTCTTAAACGGGACTAGTGTTTGAATATTGAAATTGAACATAAGTACACTTTTAATTCTTATTTTTCATTTTTGTTTAAATTTGCGAAATTCAGTTAGCGCTGTTATTTTGTCATGATTAGAATTAATATATTTGGGAGAATTAAAAATTTTTTAGGTGTGAGATGGACTCATGCTACTTTTGCCAAGTAAGGTAAATGTACATTTAACTGAGCTCTTTTCAATTCAAATTATGATGTCTATTCAGTAAACGTGAAAAAATGAAAAACAAATTATCGAATTTTAATTTATTTTTCAAAAAAAAAAATTTTAAATGAAAACGTGCGGAGAGCATTTAAAAATAACGTCCAACGTTTTAGTTAAAGTTAGCGTATGCGTTACTAAAAGAAGTTAGAAATAGTCTTTAATATTTCTAACTTCCCTTAGGAATAAGAATAAGAATAAGAATAATAAATAAATAAGGAATACCGAATGTTTAAGAATAATAAGGAATAAGAATGTTTTATAGAACTTTGCTTATTTCAAGAACGAAGGACCAAGAAATCTGGAATATATATATTTATAACTCATGACATCAAGAAAAAAAAAAAAAAAAAAAAAAAAAAGGGGGGGGGGAATTCAACAATAGTCGTTAGAATTGAAAATTAAAAATGAATGCATCAATGTTAAATTTACGCAAAGCATTTTTTAATAAAATTTGAAAAATAAGATATTCTTAATTAAGCAGAAATAGGATTAAATTTATTAAACAAAACAAAATATACAGCAACGAAACATGAACCGGAAATAATGCATATCCTGAATTCTGGTAGGTGTAGTCTTTTGTCTGAAAGGCCTGTTATAATTTTTCAGAACGTGGAATTTCACAATAAAGCCAAAACAGACAGAAACAGAGGTAAGTGCTGTTTTCTGTCCGTGGGCGTTATTCAAGAGAAAATTGACTGGTTGATGCATTTACTGATTTTAAAAGCCGGGTTGCGTGTTTGCTAAGGTACTTTAAGTTGGTTTGGTTATATAAACATCGATGTTTACTTAATACAAATATCGAATATTCAATCTTTATGATGGTAGGATAGAGGACAGAGTAGCTACTAAATACTATGTATTTGTGTATGTATACTATGTACTCGTTTAGAATTTGAAGAAAGATTGGGTCGATACAAGACTGCAATGATCTGATAAAGAGTATTATTAATGAACTTTATACCAAGTTCTTAGTACTTTTACTAAGTAAGTAAGACTACTTTTCGAGTAAGCAGGAGTGCAAAATTAAAAAAAATTTAAAAATTTGAATTTAAAAAAATTCAAACTTGGTTTCAGAGAGAACATGCCGGTCTATCATGAAATGTCATATAACCATATAATCTGCAGGATGTGTAGATGTTATCAATAGCAATAAAGGTAATGCCTAATTATACACTAAAATATTTCGAACTCATTAAGACATTCAAATATGAAACGCTCATAGAAAATACATCACTAACGGGGGGGGATAAAATAGATTTTATTGCAAATAATTTTAAACACTAACCTATCTTTAAATTCGGTTGATTCGTCTCGTATTTACACCTCTTGATAATTTAATAAAATGAAATGACTAGTAAATTAAAAATATATCTATAAAGAGCAAGAAAGATATATAAAATGGACGAAGACTTCTATAGTAAGCTTAACTTCTTTGCAACTTATTCTTTTAAGCAAGACGAAGGAGACGAATAAAGGAAATCAGTGATATAGAAACCTATAAGGAAGCAAGAAAAATAGAGTAATATATGACATCATAAACCCTGAAACCATGTTTTCAAGCAAAGAGCTAGGAGAACTGGTACTCCCCTCCTGCTTTATACTACAGTATATTTTTGAAAACAGAAATGGTACAAAATCGCTAAAATTAGTATCTTTATATTATTCTATAAAAAAGGGCAAAGAGTTCTTTTATAATCTGTGAAAATTTTAAAACTTTGTAACTGATACATATTTAAAAGTCGAAATTTTAAAACAATCGACTTTCAACTAGCGAAACAGTCGGCAGTTTTCGAAAATTTGTCAGACACTCAGAAATCACGTTAAAAATATCATATAAGTTTCATTCAAAAGTTTGTTTTTCACTCTATCCGACGGGGCAGAGAGTAAACTTCTGAGATTTTAGTTTGTTCGTTGAACGAAGATATATGTGAAAATGTGTTTCAACTTTAAATTAAAAAAAATATAAATGGCATTTTGGAAAACATCGCTTCTTCACATTGTATTGCCATCCACAAAGAGTTGAGTGTGCAAAATATGAGCTCAATATTTTATCAGGAAATATTTTAAAATTGATGACAAACTTTTGATCACACAGTAAAGCAGAAAAGTAAACTAAGTAAAAGCTTAAAAAATGTAAACTATCTTGAATAAGAATTGGTGAAATTGAAAATTTTAGATTTTAAGAGGAGAGAACAAATTATACTTGCACAGAAACATTTACCTGGTAGATTTCGTGTCTGAAAGATGCTTTTGCTAAAGAAATTGTATCTAAAATTAATTGATGCTCTTTTAGTATGTCGTAATAAAATTGCAAGATTTTGTAGTTTGTGTTTTTATATGTTTAATATAAAACGTAATGTTTTAGAGATTTATAAAGTTTATTAATTTTTAACTTTAGATGGATGCACACAGTTAATGTCATTGCCATGCTTTTGAAAGTATCCTGCTGCGTATTTATTGGAAGATATTCTGAGGCAACTGAATTTCAAGTGTAAGTATGCTATAGGAAAAAAAATGTCTTTTGTTTAAATAATTTTTACTGGTTTAAAAATAAAACTTAATTATTTCTTTCTTTTAATTCTAATTGTTAAATCTTGGTTCCATTTTGCTTTATCAGCTTCAGTATGAAACACATTTGCACTTAACATTCCATCTCTTATTTATGCCTTTTTATGTTCCGTTAGTACTTCATCCGTTAGTCAGCAATTCCCAATCTGTGTTCTGTAGAATCCTAAAGACACCCCTGCACTTTCCAGGGTTCCGCGCTCGCTCCAGGAAATGAAGTTAATAAAAACTGATGAAATTAAAGAATAAGAAACGAAACATAGAATCAAAAAATGGAGGGGAAAAATAGTTATTACCTTCTGAAAGAGAATTTCCCAAGTTCAAATTCGCATTTCCTCTACCAGACAACATGTTGTTCTCTAGAGTTTTTTGACGTTAGTTGTTTTCATATGTTCCGTGTTATAAACTAAGCGATCTTTGTTTATAATACGAAACATATGCAAACAAATGTTTTATATCCCATAACACGTTCTCCTTCCTCACGCCAGTTGTAGTAGAAATGGCCGATTGGGCGGCTCTTGGTTGTTGCGGCCGCCCTGATCGGTATAATGGTCAGCGGGGCTGGCTCCTGTATGGTTGGTACCAGGCTTGAATTCCAAAGAAGGTGTGGATAAGCTTATAGGCACAAGAATAGTATTTGTGTGGCACGAAACACTTAAAATACTGGCAAGCCGAAAGTCCTTTCGACTGGTTTGGTGGTAAGGGTTCCTCAAATTTAGTCCCTGGGGCGTTTTCGATCAAAACTGGGTAGCTTGCACCAGTTATTGCTGTGGGACTGTACCTGTATGGCCAAAGGTGAAATCCTGCTGTCCCGGCCAATTCTGTGTGTATTTGTTCCTTCCTGCGCGAGAATTCTGCGTCAAGCTAATTAATTTTTCGGGATTCTGTTTTATCTGTAGGTAATAAGTTTACTCACGTATAAGACCATGCTACGTCCCATACTTACCTATCTTGTCTGGTGTTATGCATGCAAAATACAATGTATCTTAAGTCCAATTTCTGCCAAATATTACTCTCAAGCAACTCACCAGTAATTGGTGATATGGTTTATAAGAAATAGTTCCGTACACGGAGAATATAAATTCAAAATAACAGATAAATTCATGACTAAATTGGTTCGCAAGTTTTACGTTAATTAAGGAAAATATATAACTATGATTATATATAATTATATTATGATATATATATTATTAGGACATATATATATATATTATGATATATATATTATTAGGATATATATATATTATGATTGTATATATTAAATATTCGTAACTTATTCGTAACTTATTCGTAACTGGATTATGATTTTTATGAAAATGTCAACAGTCAACGTCCTGGAGATGCGTTCCAGATTCTAGTTAATATTACCTTAATCATGTTTCTTATAACTCTTGTATACTTATATTGCATTTTATGATTATTTTTCTCAGTCGCTCCTAGTTATTTACTCCCCTCCACTTCTGTTTAAGTCTTTTATTCAGAATTAGTATCTGTCTAAATTCAGTCCTCCCCCCCCATCTTCTTTGTTAATCCAATATGTTTTGCATACTCGTGCTCCTTACCTCCAGCCTATCGGATTACTCTTGGACTTGACATCGACTCTTCCCCATCTCAGCGCCTCCCATCTTAACATATTGGCCACTGCCGATTAGAATACACTGCTCTCACTTTGTAATCGTATCTTCATAAATGGCGACTTAAATGCACGACACCGTGCGTCAAACTGCTATAATTCTAACAACATTTACGTACAATATATGACTTGGCCAAATCGGCGGTATTTTGCATGCTCCAAACAACCAATCACATTATAGTACTGGGTCCACTGGTATTATAGACTTTTTTCCCTTCTAAAGATACCAGTTATAGTAGAAATATTATGAGTTGGATGAGCTATCTTCTGACCACAATCTGGATATTTATGCGTTAAATGAGCTATCTTCTGACTACGATTTGGTCAGGATTATCATGGATATCAGTATTTACATCACACCAGGCAAAAGAGCCGTTACCACTGACTGGCTAAATTAGGCAGAAGATCTAAACAGCGTGAGTTTGATCAAAGAATGCACAGAATCTATCATGAATGCCCATCAAAGTGCCAGAAAAACGGTGAAAAATCAAAAACCTGTAAGAAGAAAGGAATTGCAAAAACGTTTTAGAGAAAGGAAAGCAGCTGAACGTCAATTTGAGCGCGTCAGATATCTATGAAATAAGCAAGGATCAAATCGCTTGAATGATGTCGTCAGTTCTCTTACTATTGCTCAGGCATAATTCTACTGCGCTAAATAATTAAATTCGCTTTGCAAGGACCATAAGTCGATACAAAGAGTTAGCTTCAGATACAAGAAATAACACAATAACATTCCACCCCTTAAAAGCCCTCAATCATTTACACTAAAACCGAAAGCAGAACTTTTAGCTCAGCACCTGGAATATCAGTTTGGCATAAACAGCACACACGACACAATAGCAGAACATTTAGTTTGTGATTTTCATTCTCAATACACAACAAATTCACATGCAAACAACATCATTCCAGTCCTTCCGTTGAAATGTTTTGGCTACCTAAAGAAACTCAAAAAATCCTGATTCAGCTATTTTCTCTCAAACTGATTTTCAAGCTCACGAATATCTTTAACTTAACCCTGATATGACTGTACTTTCCTGAAGCATGGAAAACGACAGCAATAACTCCGATTCTTAAATATAAAAAACTACTCACGGAATCATATCGTCCAATTCCTAGATCATCTGGACACAAATAATATTATCATATTATATCAGTTCGGATTCCGGAAGCACCTGTTCACCTCCAGCCACTTATACAGAGTGGTTAAAATGGTTTTAGAAGGTATGCAATATAATAAAGTCATGGGTGGTCTTTTCCTCGACATAGCCAAGGCTTCTCATCGTGTCTGGTTGGACACGCTCATCTACAAAATACACAATCTGGGCTTCCCAGATTACATTACCATCATCATTAAATCTGCCTCACTGGTAGACTCTTTGATGCACACATCTCAGGTACATATTCTACACGCTACGCTATTTTAACCCGTGTCCCACATTGCTCGCCCACCCTATTCATATAAATGAATAGGGCCCACCCTATTCAACATTTATATGAATGATATTCCAAGCACAACCAATACTACCCTTCGACTGTATGCTGACAGCACAGCATCCTTGCTCAAAGTGCATTCCTTAATCGAGTCATCCAACATTTTCAAAATCAGATATAAGGACTGGAGAACTGACTAAAGAACTGGAAATCGAAATTAGCCTCGATAAAACGGTGACTGTCTTATTAACGAATAAAAATAAAATTCATGAGAATCTCGAATTTAATGGAACTACTCAATAAAGTTATAAGGTAATTCTCCCGCCTTCCTAGCCTGCCTTCGTGGTGTAGTGGTCAGCCCACTGAGCTGGTATTTCAGAGGTCCGTGGTTCGATTCCTGGCGAAGGCGGTTGCATATTTTTCATCTTCTCTGCTTCCAATTAACATAATGACTCTACAAGTGGCGCCCGAACTAAAAGGGTTGTGGATGATTCTCCGCACCCAGGATTTGACGACTAGGTCCCCTAAAACCCCAGTCGCCTTTAAAAAGGGGAGTATATAAGGTATTTCTCCCACTTCCCTAGCGTGCCTTCGTGGTGTAACGGTAGCACGCTGGGCCGGTATTCCAGAGGTCCGTGGTTCGATTCCCGGCGAAGGCGGTTGCTATTTTTCATCTTTCCGGCTTTTCCAATTAATTCTCGATAGTAGTGCCTGAACTAAAAGGGTGTTGGATGATGATTCTCCGCACCCAGGATTTGGCGATTGGGTCCTCTAAAACCCCAGTCGTCCTTTAAAAGGGGAAGTATATAAGGTATTTCTCCCGCCTTCCTAGCGTGCCTTCGTGGTATAGTGGTCAGCACACTGAGTCAGTATTTCAGAGGTCCGTGGTTCGATTCCCGGCGAAGGCGGTTGCTAATTTTTCAATTTCTCTTGCTTCCAAAAATTCTAATGTCTCTACAAAATAAGTAAATCAAAATAAGTGAGTAAAAATGTAATTTTTATTCATGATAAGGTATGCACCTCTATCACCGATACTTTGTCTATATAAAAATGTTATATTTGTCAAGCAAAATAAAATTAAAAATTATTCTATTGATAGAATGATAAACAGAGAAATAAAAAAAGAAAACTTACTACTTGAAATATCAGTATGATTATAAGAATGAATACATTTTTTCGATCGCCTCCTGACACTTAGGGCAGCAAGCTGGGGAAACTACAAAAGTCGTTGAGCGAAGCCAAAACAGCATGTTAAAATTATTTAATGAAAACCATAGATTAATCGTGGACAAACTTAGGTACGGTTTTGGCAATTCAGGTGACGGAAGCATAATAAGATTATATTCCTCACTCTGATCCTTAAGGAAGATATTGATTTGATTTTAAAAGTTCTTGTACCAAGTAATGTATGTTTGCACCAAGTAGTCACAAAATGAACATAGACGTATTTAAGGGATATTCTCAAAGTACGGCTAGCTATTTTGTACCATATTCTACTCACCGTACTCCGGTATTCTACTCACAGTAACTTACGGCAAAGAGCACCGTTGCTGAAGGAGTCAGCAGTGTGAATAACGACATGAAAAAGATACTTTTAAGCCTCATCAGGTATACCAAATTCGCGCTGCAAATATAGATGAATCGACTGATGTTGACTTGCAAGCGTGCACGGGATAGTAGTTTTAAGAGTTTCTTATGCTTATTTCAAAGCTATCGAGAAAAATTACTTCTTTGCAGCTCTTACAACTAACAAACATATCAGGTGGAATATTTAATATTTTAGAAGAATTTTTCTCATCAGCATGTAGTAGTTTTATAAAAGAACAGGAAGTATGGCTTAGAAATACCCTTAATTCAGTACT